GTGTGGGCAATGCACTTCAATATCTTCATTGATAACCTGGGCACTGGGACAGAGTGAATCCTCAGCAAGGATGCAGATGACATGAAACTGGGAAAGATGATTTCAGTGTGGGCACTCCTGGCCTACAGGAACCCAGTAAAGTTCAACCAAAGAAATGTCAGGCGTTGCACCTGAGAAGAATGATCCTGTATACACAGACAGGATAGAGGCAGCTTTGCTTTCAGTTTAGGGATCCTTCCCCTCAACTCGGCCCTGGTGAGGCATATCTGGTGTGCTTTGTCTGTTCAGTGCAAGAGAGGGTTGGGCCTGCTTGAGTATGCCCAGTGTAGGACCATGAATGTGATTAAAGGACTGGAGTACCTGTCATGAGAGGCTGGATTAGCTGGGACTCATCAGTGTGGAGTAGAGAAGACTCGGGGGCATCTTTTTCATACAGTATAATTTAGAAAAGTCTCTTAAGATCGAGTCCAGCCATTAACCTAACGCTAGCAAGTCTACCACTAAACCACGTCTCTAAGTGCCATGTCAAATTATATAAAAAGTCAACAAATAACTGGCGGGGGGACTAGAGAAGGTGGATCTGAACTTTTCTTAGTGATGCCCTGTGTGACAGGACAAGAGGTAGTGGGCAGAAATTGAAACACATGGAACTTGATCTGAACATAAGAAAACTCTTTAATTGTGAGGGTGGCTGAACACAGGAATAGCTCACCCACAGATGTAGTGGAGTCTCTGTCTATGGGGATAGCAAAACCATGACTGCTTGTGGCCCTAAGCAACCTGCTGTCATTGATCCTGTTCTGAACAGGGGGTTGGATGAGACAATCTCCAGAGGTCACTTCTAACATCTGCTGTTCTGTAGTAACTACCTGACCTGCCTGTGCCAGCACAGAACAATCTGTACACAATTCTGTACACAGATTTGACTTTAAGTAGAAAAATCAGACCTCAGGTGAGCTACAGGTTTGGCTTGCTCAGGGGTTATGGTCATGTCATTGACTTAAGCACTCCTTTTCATGTCAGCATTGACATGATACATGACTGAGTTGGGTTTGAATGCTTCCCACACCACCTTCCTACCCTCTGTCAAGTCTGATGTGCGAGTATAAAGGCAGGAATGAAAGAGGGTAGGTAGGAATGCTTTGTTTGGTGACCATGCAGTTTTAGCTTGGCATCAGTCAATACAGGAAAACATGAGTTCAGTCCCTAGTTGGTTGGATCCTTTGGGGACAGGGTGGTGAGAAGCTGTAGAGTGTGTATGGGAAGGGAAGGAAAGGAAGAGGTGGGTTGCATTAACTTGTGCAGGATGTTGGAAGAGAGAAGAGGTGATTACTGCAAAGGGCAGGTAGAGTATTTATCTAGCTAAAAGGGGAAAACTTAAGTGTTCAGAAATGGTGCAAATATTGTGTTAAAGACTTGTAGTGTATCGCAGAGATTTTTCTCATGGGTCTTTTGTGTGTATTCTTCTTGGAAATCTGAACTGGTAGAGAGGTGACGATGGTGCAGGGAAAGATTGAGGGTTAAATTCTCCTGTTGGTAGCTGTGTATTTTGAATACTTTGAGAGCTCTTCCTGATTCATGATTGGTTTACCCATAATTTCTGAAAGAACACTTGGATGTACTGCATGATTTATATTGACTGTGGTGATGCACTTGCTCCTGTGGCACAATATTTGATTTGCCTGTGTTCACTGTCTAGCTGGAAGTCCTCAGAGGAGGAGAGTGGGGATATTCTATAGAAACTCCTTAGGAAAAAGCAGCCTTCTATTCTTAACCTTCTGTAATAGAGAATAATGAAATGGACTAAGTGCACAGGGGTACTTGGTCTGTTTCCTCATGGATGGGTGAATAGTAATGACTTTCTACCTGCTGTCCTTTTTTTTTTTTTAAAGCCTCATCCAATGCATTATTTATTCTATGTATAAGTTAAGATGATGAGGTTAATTCTCACAGTGCAAATTGATTGAAAGGACTAATGTTAGTGTAGATTTCTGCTTCCTGATTTATTTTTTTTTTTTTGTGCTCTCCAAGTTGACAAGGACAAAACAAAGCATTCTACTTGCATGTCGGGGGGGTTCTGACAGCGGTCTTCCAAACTTAATACCTGGGAGGTATGTGTTGCTAAAGCCAGTTTTGTGTTTGCATCTGTTAATATGTTAGGCAAAAACTAGTGTCTTTGTCTTGGAGTAAGAAAAGCAGGGGCTTCAGGGTGTGCTTTCATTCTTGAGGTGCGGGTTTATTTTCCTGTTGAAGGAAAATTCTAGTTCTGGAGGTTTTTTTCATTATAAGGATTGAGATACAGTATTGGCATTGGAAGAAAGTCTCAGATTAGTCTGTGAATGAGAAGAACCCCTGTACACCTATAAGCCCGGCTGCTGTATTTTCAATAAATGGAGGGAGGCACTGTGAATGGCCTATCTTGACTCTGGTGGGCTTGGTGCCAGAGCAGTTGGGTGTGCTGTTGCAGCTGACTGGAGGCCCAGCCTCCTGCTGCTCTCATCTTCAACTGCCCTGTGACTTCACCTGTCTGTAAATTAAACTCTTCTCAGGTGTGTTCCCTTCATTGCTTGTATCTGACACCCTCCCATCTTATCTTTGTATATTTCCCTTTCCTGTGAGGTTTTTTTTTTTAAGATTTGGAGTTGACAGATAGTGTTCATGTGTGAAAATTTTGCATTTGTACAACACAATAACTTAGTATAGTAAAACAAATAATTTAAACAGCTCTGAACTGAAACATACAAGTCATTCAGGTTGCTGTTGACTATTAGCATACTCTGCATTTTGGCTTCTAATATATGCTAACTTTTCAGTGTATTCTTAACGAAGCAGTTCACTTGACACTACCCTTCACCTTTCCCTATTGAAAGTGTAGCTACAAAGGGAAGAATTTGTCAAATGCAGAAGCATATAGAAGTGCTTTGTGTTCTAGTGTTTTGTTTATGTTACATTCCCAGTTCCTAGAGGAAAGGATTCAAAATCAGGAAGAAAAACTTGAAGTCAGAAACTGAGTGAATATTTTCAAATGAGAGCTAATCTGTTCCCATAGTTGACTAAGATTTTGTCAATCCTCTGGTATCAGGAGGTCTTAAACTAGAATGTTTTTGGAGATAGTGAGGCTCAGTAGCGGATTACTGAGCTCAGTGTTGGAGTATCCTGCAAAACTAGCCAGTGTTGTGCATGAAGCCGGACTGGATGCTTACCGTAACTCTGGACTTTGAGCTGCATTTGTGTTCACAGATGACTGTCAAATAATAGCTTCTTCACTGCTAAAATTTTAGAGGAATATTTGCAACCACTGCAAATCATCTCATCAAGAGTGCTGGGATTCCAAAATTGCTTGGCTTTACTGGGCATTAACGCTTGAGAAATATGTATCTCTCAAATCTTACACACAGTGGTTTTGTTTCTGTTCTCAAGTTGAAACTCTGGGCCTTTTCATGCCTTCTGGCAAGTAATTATCAAATCCTTCTAACAGTATTTCATGCTTGGCAACCAGAGTTGATTAGTTTGTTCCTGAATAACAAAAAATTAAGCACTGTCTGAATTAACATTTTGGTGTGGATTCAAAGGTGTTGATACTGTTCTAATCATCATTGGTTATTTTTTTCTTATCAGTGATTGATAATGCATATCTGAGCTTGGAGTGAGGTGGTGGCAAGTGGATTTTGGTGAGAGATTGTTGAAATGTCCTGATGCCTTGAGGCAACCATTGATGCCTCAAACATTTTTAAAAGGAGTCTCCAACTTTGGGGAATTAATTATCCCTCTGAGGCAAATCTTGTGTGGTGTAACCAAAAGGAGATATGATGGAAGAGTATGTTTATTAATTTCCTAAAGCTAACCACATAATAGGAAGAACTCAGTCAAGCTTCTGCCTGACTGCTTAGCAAAGAAATCTGCTAAATTATGAGCAGCTTGTGAGGGATTAGTATGTTATGGAGCAGAAAAATATCAGTGATGATTTGTCCTGCAGTCTCTGCCAAGATATACCTAGCAGAAATCCTTGAAGCTGTTGAAAGCAGATGGGCTAAATGTGGTATGAGCACTTCAGTTCTTCAGGATCTGTTCTCCATCTTGCTACTTAAATATCTTGCAAGAGCTGCAGAAGTGAAGTGGTTGGGGAGTTAGTTGCATACTAGTTCAGTTTGAGGTTTGGGCTAATTTTCTGGCTTGGAATAGTATAGTAAGCATTATTATACTGAGTTGTTTGTTTTTGGTTTGGTTTTGTTTGTTTGGTTTTTGTTTAATGTGCTAGTGACATTAAGGGAAGGAAATGAATATGGGTTTTATAAAAGATGAGGGAGAAGGTAGTGGAGTGTGACAAGGAAAGTGAATGCCAAGCAGGAAGAGGGGATCACATGCTTGAAGTGACAACATTTCTTTGTGAATGTACTGACCCCAAAAGGGGGACTGATGCAAGTTTAGGGGGACATTTCTGTGTGAATGTACCCCCCCAAAAAGGGGGCTGATGCAAGTTTAAAGTGAGCAGTGCAAAGTTGCAGAGGCTGGAAACTAGAATTGTGGCCCTATTTCTTTTACACTTTTGATGTCCCAAAACCACTTGGCTTCATTGTGGGTAGGATAGTTTGCCCTGTCTAGTTTTTCAGTGCCTTTCAGAAAAATGTCTAGCTGTAGGACATGGCAACTCAAATCTTTCATCAGTGCAGTGTTTCCTTCTGGGATTGTTGTTTCCAAGTGATTAAAAAAAATTACATGAGTAGGGCCATGCCTGGACTGTGATACGGTAGGTGACAAATTGTAGCCATAGTTAAAGTACTGTTATATCAAAATAATAGAAAACTTCCCTGAGGAGTATCTCTAGGGATGGGGGAGGAGAGGTACATGAAAGCTATTGTTCAGGTGGAACTCAAAAGTACAGCAGGTTGCCAGTAAAAACTGGACATTTAAAAAAACCAAACAAACAACAACAAAAACCAAAACTGACTTGAATGGAAAATCCTTACTGATATTTTTTTTTCTTTTCCTCAATCATGCAGCTGATTGCAATGCTGTTCTTAAAGCTCTACAGCCCATTTTTCAGGAGCAGGGAATGACAGAAACAGTTCATAACTGGGAAGACCATGGCTATTTAGCAACATACATCAAGAAAAATGGCAGGTGAGTGGATTTTTTTTTTTTCTTCTATAGATTGTCCCCTCTGTCCTCATTTACAGGTAATTATTTCTCCCTGTGTTGGATTTCCTTCTGAGGTGCAGGTAGGGCAAGCTATTATTTTACCAGCCTTGTTTATAAAGTGACTGAAATAAGGCAGAATGCCGTTGATACTCTAGCCTCTATCATCTTATAGTTTGTGTACTAGAATAGTTGAATTGGTTGGTCTGGGCTGTACTGATGCAGTAGCATTGTTTGATGTCTTGGTCTCAGGGCCAGTCCTTCCAGATGCAGGATAGCTCAAGTCAGTTGAAAGTATTTGTAATTCTTCTGTTAATTGAGTATGTCTAAATTCAATCCTAACCGCAGCATGTGAATAATAAAAAAGTTTCTGTCCCTGTCTTTTGAATATGCTTTTTAAACACTTTATGTGCTTCACTTGCACACTGTCGCCCATTACATCTTTGTAGGTAAGCTTAGGAAATGTGAGTTAGATGAATGGACAGTGAAGTGGATCAGAAATTCTCTGAATGGCAGAGTTCAGAGGATTGCAATATGCAGATTAGAAGCCAGTTGGAGGCCTGTAGTCAGTGGTGTTCCCCAGGTCTGGTCTTATTCAACTTGTTTATCAGAGACCTGGGTGAAGGGCTGCAAGTTTACTGATATGAAGCTGGGAGAAGTGGCTGATGCACCTGGAGGCTGTGCTGTTGTTCAGCAGGACCTCAGTAGGCTGGAGAATTAGGCAAAGAGAAACCAATGAGGTTCAACAAGGGTAAGTGTAGGGTACTACACCTGGGGAGGAAGAACCAACCACAAGCACCAGTACAGGTTGAGGGCTGACCTACTAGAGAGCAGTTCAGCTTGGAAGGACGTGGGAGTGTTGGTAGATAACTATGAGCCAGCAGTGTGCCCTTGTGGTCAGGAGGGCCGACAGTATACTAGAGTGCATTGGGAGGAGTGTGGCCAGCAGATTGAGGGAGGTGATCCTCCCCCTCTGCATAACCCTGGAGAGGCTGCATCTGGAGTACTGTGTCCAGTTCTGGACCCCTCAGTACAAGAAAGACAAGGAGCTACTGGAGAGGGTCTGGTGGAGGGCCACAAGGGTGATCATGGGTCTGGAGCATCTCTCTTATAAGGAAAGATTGCAGGAGCTGGGCCTCTTTATTCTAGAGAAGCGACTACCAAAAAGGGACCTTATTAATGCATATGACTATCTCAAAGGTAAGTGCCAAGAGGATGGTACCAGACTCCTTACAGTGATACCCAGGACAAGGAGCAATGGCCATAAACGAAAACACAAGATGTTTCAACCTCAACATGAAGAACTTTTTTTAATGTTGACAGTGGTAGAGCACTGGAAGAGGCTGCCCAGTGATGTTGTGGAGTTTCCCTCTCTGGAGACATTCAAAGCCTGCCTGGATATATTCCTGTGTAACCTGCTGTAGGTGGCCCTGCCTTGTCAGGGAGGTTGGATTAGATGATTCCAAGAGGTCCCTCCCAGTGCTAACAATTCTGTGAATCTATGAAATTCTCAAGCAGCTATTGAAGTAACTAACAGCATGACAAAGGTGGTTAGCGTCATTAGTGACGCATAAGCAGAATCTGCAGGGATAAATAGGTAAGCAAAGCCACATTAGCTTTATTTCCTGAAGATGCTTTACAGTGTCAGGTTTAGTGAATTATGGGCACATATATTTGGCCTGTTTGTTATTAAGTACTGTAATTTTATTGCACTTCATTTGTTTCCATTTATTCAGTTATTTGTTCCTGACATCCATTGTGGTAGTCACTGCTTTTGGTTTGTGTTTTTTTTTGTGGGTGTGTTTTTTTTGTTTTTTTTTTTTTAAATCTCCACATACTCTGTTCTCCAGGGTTGGAGTTAGCCAACAAATTGACATTTATTTCAGTTATCTTCTCTTAGGTGTCCTGTTAAGTATCTCATTCAGTCATACTCCGAACATACGAGAATTGCCCAAGGATTTTTAAGTTCTTTCTTAAATGAGAGAACCAGTATCTCTGAAAGGATAGCTCAGATTATAGGCAGGTGTGTTGCCTGCTAAAATTTGTCTGTTTACTGCATGTGAACATATTTGTATGTACAGCTCTCTGTATTGTATTTAAAGTAGTGTAGACCACCAATATTGTAAACTTGGGGCCTGACTTGACTGGTGTCAGCTTACTTGTTACCTTTAGTATGAAGTTTGTATCTTTTATTGTCATGCTCCAATGAAGTTCTTGAGCCATTTCAGTTAGCTTTTCAAATGTGATGCTATCTTTTTCTGATTAAAATTACTTGTTTGTTTTGTTTTTTTTTTAATGCTTGATAGGCTTAGAAAAACCTTCTTTTTCTTTTTCTTTTTTTTTTTGGTACAGTCTTTCTTACTCTGTCTTTAGTTATGTGTGCTTTTACATTTTTCCTGAATAATTTGCTCAAGATTCCTGTTTTGGATAACCTTTTATCTGTGAAAATATAGCAAAAGGTGGTAACTTATTCCTCTTTTGTCTTTCCTCTGTACTGGTTTAAGCTTGTATTTACTCCTGAAAATATAACATCAAATATACATGAATTCTGAACAATTAAAAGGTAAAATATTTAAAAGTAAAAAGGACTTAAAAGATTTAAAGGTTGGCTTTCTTTGATTACATGACATCATTTTGCTTTCCAGTGTTTCCTTGAGTTTGAAAGTGACATGAAATGTGAATCCTCAAATTTGCTTTCCTTTTTGCAGTCTTATCTGATCATTCCTGTGTTGGAAAGCAGTCTCCTCTAAAGGAGCAGTTTCCAGAGTTAAATTACCTGTGTTCTGAACTTTCTAGAAAAGATGTCTGTTGTATAAACTTTCCAGAAGATAACTGAACTGGCATCTAGAAGCATCTCTAAGGGCCTTGCAAAATTCTGGATTTTGAAGTATTATTTCTCTTACTACACTGCCAGTTGAAAATACTTGTTGCTCCAGATTCCACTGTCTTCCTCAAGTGCTAGTGTATAATAACAATTAATGTTTGAAGGGGGAGAGGAGTATGTAAGAGTTGATGTGTTTGTGTAGCAGAGGTGGGGAAGACTTCGTGGGAAAGGTAAACCTGTGTCCTGGTGTACATTGTGGTCATTGTGGCAGAAGTAAGTTGGTCAAGTCAGTTTTCCCACGGTAAAGCAGAGCCCTGGAGGGGGATATCCTAGATGCTCTGAGTATAAGCTTGGGAATTCAACATGCGGGAGAACTATACAGTCTCCAGTCAGTTTTTTGTTTGTGGGGTGTTTTTTTTATGCTTTTCAGAACTGTCCTCGAGTAGATAGCATGGGGGGAGGGGTAGAGAAAATGAGATTCTGTTTCCAGGAAGCCATGTGTAATTAGCTTTAGCAATTGCTTAGTACTCATTCTGATTTTTAAATGAGTTCTTTCCTGTGTGTTTTGTTGATCTTGTGTCTTTCAGCAGGTAGACACTTTGAATCATTCAGCTGTTCACTACTGTTAAATGCAACTTAAACTTTTGCACCAGAGGATAGTTCATAGTATTCTTGCTGTTGTGGGAAGGTGAAGATAAGAGATGGGCCTAGTGGTCTTCCTGCAAGGAAATAATTGATGGTCTGTTATGCTGGGTCTTGGTTACCTCTTGCCTCTGTTCACTGAGCAAGGGCAAGCACTCAGGCATCTCTACTGCTGCAGACAACCAGGTTGGTGCTTGGATTTCTTCTTTAGGGCTACATCGAAGTTTGTCAGCTGGCAGGGTCTTGGGTTGGATTGTTCCAGAGTCCTTTTCCAAAAGGCAGCATTGCTGAGGCTGCACAGTTTGGGTAGCTTACGCATTCACAGTTTTATCAAGTAATCAAGTAGACTTTTTTTCACATAAAACCCTCATGCCACACTCCAGGGCATGCACTGTGTACATTCGGCTTCAAAACAATTTCCTGGTGATTGCTACAGAGCCCTTGCATCACTTCAGATGCTTTGATATTGCACTTTGTGGGTTAAGGAAGGAACCTCACTTACTGTCTTGGGGCCACAGGGATACCGTGGAGGCCACAGGGAGAGCTGGGGCTTAGTGATGTGAGAAAGGATGCGGCCTGTAGGTTTTTGGGGAATACTCATCTCCTTGAGCCTTCTGGGCTGAACACAACGAGTTTAGTGAAGTACTGATTCTCATCTGTTTAACCTTATATGCTGGACATGCCATTCATCTTTATAATTGGCAGTCAGAAATATGATAGAGAATACTGAGTTTCAGGAAAAAAATTGGACTCAAAGATGCTCTAAACACTGGGGCAGACATGGGCTTCAGCACCGTTTTTTGCCTTGCCTCATTCATGGGGGCTGACTGACTTGCTGTGTCACTGTCCTTTTGACACCTGTTTTAGCAGGCAGGTGTAGTGGTCTCCCCTTCTTCCTGTACACATGCAGGTGCTGCAACCTTGTGTTCTTTCTTACCCTATATGTACTGTGCTTCACTGCCTCCCTAATCCAGCTGTGAATAGACTCCACCAGCAGAAATATGGTTTCTGTTGAAAAGCTTTAGATGAGCTTGGTTTTAATTTCAAATTACTGTTGTCAGGTTAATGTTAAAATGTGTACAAGTTGTGTCAGTTGAAAACTGCATTTGCTAATGGAGGCTCTGAATCCTTGCAAAATAAGTTCTCAAAGTTCTAATACAATACAGGTCTGGAAATAGTTGAGCTGTTAATAGAAGCTATCCAGGAAAGTATACTAAATATAATAAGGAATTGCAGTTTGTGATACAGCCTCAAGAACTGAAGAACAAAGAACAGGAGTGCATGGAAGAGCTGAACATTAAGAGATTATTTGCTTTATAAGTGTCTTTTTTTTCTGGTGCAGTGTTAAATGTAAATTAATAAAGAATGGTTATTACTTTCTCTTGGTATATTCATTGGCATCTGATCTTCAGTGCATACTGGATTTATCTTCCCTGGAAATTACTCACGTTAGCTAGACAACTTACTGTCTGTAAATTAAAGTATGTTTCTGTGCTTTGCCTTTCTTGTTAAACTCTGA